GCACCCTAACCACCTGGCAAGGGCAGGAGTTGTATCATTGTTTTCTTGATTATGATGCAATGAATTGTTTTCTGAAGATATTTCAAATTGGAAGCCAAAAAATCGAGTTCAATGTATCATGATTTTTGTGTTTTGGATGTAATCTATAACATTTGCAATGTTTTGTTACTTGCATTTCCATAATATGTATATATATATAATCTAAACAAGCCTTAACAACAGCAACAACAGAAACGCTATACATACTAAAAAAAAGATCACCAGGACACAGGCTATAACGTGGGTTATGTGTTCTTGGTTATGGAGGTTACTACGAAAGTAGAGTCACATAGTGGTGGGGATACACCATCAACCAATCGTGACCTCCGTTCGCTAGTCTCACATGTCAAAGAAAAATGAGTGAACATAAAGTAAGTAAAAATGAGTTAGGAGAACAAGATGTAGGTGCTCAATCCAATAGCGTTCCACATCTGTATCATATGTACATGATACATTATGCATTACATGTATGTATATTTCCATAATATATACATGAGTATATAAGTTCTTTAAAGGTATTTAATGAGAGTATTTTTGTTTAGATTTTGAAATCTCCTTTGCTTTTTTTTTTTCATAGTTAACTTTTCAGATGTGTGAATGTATGTGCGTGTGTTTAAGTGGATTTTATGAATATACTTGATATTGTAGTTGTTGATTCGTTGTTTAACTGTATTAAAGTAAAAAAAAATACAATTTGAGATTTGGTTATTAATGAAAGGTTTTTACTGTACAAAACCGATATATATATACAACAGCTGACATTTTTCTTGTTTCGTATTAATTTTCTGTTCTTAGTTTGTTTTTGTTAAGCACAAAGCTACATATTGGGATGTCTGTGTTGTGTTCACCACGAGTATCGAAACCCAGTTTTTAGCTGAGCTACTGAGGGAGGGTTTGTTCTTGGAGTGAACCGTTTTGACTTTAAATGCATATTTGTATATATTTGTTTGTTTGTTTCTAATTAAGCACAAAGCTACACAATGGGCTATCTGTGCTCTGCCCACCACGGGTATCGAAACCCGGTTTCTAGCGTTGTAAGTCCGCAGACATACTGCTGTGCCACTGGGGGGGGGGCATTTGTATATACACAAACATGTATATATGCCCCCACTTATGGCTCAACGGGTATCTTTATGGTTTATGGTTCTAACATTCAAGGCTTGGTACCCGTGACAGGCATAGCACAGGTAGCCCACTGTACAGATTTTGTGTTTAACCAGAAACAAGTAAATATATGTACACATTTTAATTAAAGAACCTGTGTTTGACTGTATTTAATAGAATCGTAGAAATACTACTGTTGGTTATACGCATTTTAGATTTCTATTTCAATTAGCTCATAACTTCAGAAATAATGTTATGTTCTTATAAATAACAAAAAATGATTAATTCAGGACGAAAGGTTACATAACCTTCGTTTATAGTTTTGGACATAAGAGAATAATGAAAAGAAAACATTTAGCGGTAATAGTCAACAAGAGATTTTAAACAGAAGCTTTACTAGCGTCTACGAAGAATCTATTATTTTTTCTTCAGCGAAATACAAACGCACAAATCCATGCATTTTTCGCCCCCCCCCCCCCCACATACAAAAACGTGCGAATCATATAATAAAAGTAACTTTTTTTACGAAGTGCAGTCGATTCATCAACATCACTCGAACAGGTTAAAAAGGATTAATCTATGGATCTGTATTCTTTGGCAGATGTTGTTGTTTACTCTGACATTGTATCGGTCCTAGTTTTGCAGAGCTTTTCTGTATGTCTCTGTTCACTGCTGGTGAAATATTCCAAGAGTTCATTGATATTTTCTTATTGTGACGTGTTATAATAACTATATTGTCACTGATACAGTGCTGTTAGATCTGATCGATAACTTTAGCACACACACACACACACACATAACACTAAATTGGGATGTGCCTATTTCGAGTGGAACTGATCTTCGACGATGGTTGTTAACTGACTCTCAGAGACTCAGGTTAGGTAAGATTAACTTCAATGTCTTCAGACAACGTTCTAACTGTAATAAGAACCTCCAAAGCTTAGTTACATTTCTGGTCAATGGCGATAAATACTGCCATTTCCAAAATATTTATATAAATAAACACATACCCACATAACACATATAAATATTAAAGTTTGATGATGGCTTGAATGGGTAATGAAGAAAACCTTACTACAAGTTTGACAGAGTTGGTTGTTTATTTTTTTTTAAAGTAAAGCCACACCGGGCCATCAGCTATGTCCACCACATGGAATCAAACTTCGGATTTTAGCGTTGTACGTTCGTACACTTACCACTGTCCTACCGGGAGACGTGTAACAGAGTAACAAATGAACAAGGTTTTGTCATTATCGCAACGTTGTATATTTGTTACTTTGTTAACCTTGTAATAAAGTTTTCTTCCATCATCCGTTCAAGCCGTCTTCAAATTTTGTCTCAAAGTGGGTTCCTCGTCATCAAATTTGATTTCATCACACGTGCATATTATATACATTTATATATTTCACAATTATCTTTATTACGTCAAAGGCGTACAGGCAACTATTCAGTTCTCCACAGCCCTGACGAGATAATTATGTAAACATACAGCATTTTTATTATAGAGTTACTCGTCACCAAATACATGATCGCACCAGCAAAACTGTGAAAAAACACGTACATGTATACAAGTATGTGAATTTTAAGTACACGCTATTGTAATACAATATGCACTGCCTATTTCCATTACAGTTGTAAAACATTACCTGAACATTAGAATGGTTTCAGGTCTAATTTAGCACCTTACAAGTTTTCACTGATTACTTTGCAACAATTGCTTACTTTACATCACCTACCTCTTGTTTCATTTGTATCTTCAATGTCCATCGGTGCAGAATTTTGACGACGAATCAAAAATGCTCTCGGCATCTTTATTATACTTATGGTCAAGCACAAATATGAACGTTTGAACTTCTAGTAGAGACTGATCTCACGAAGTAGGGGTCTTGATTCTTAAAAACCTTGGCTTGGCTGAAGTCCCCACCTCCCAGGACCGGAGTGGTGGGTGATTTTGCGAGGGGGAGGGGGACGTAGTAAGAGTGAAGAACGATAGACAATAAAGGTCAGGTTACCAGAATATGTAGCCCATGTGGTTGCCAGAAATTATTTGCACTACAGTTGTGATAAGATCCAACGTTTGACAAGCGGTCTGTAGAGGGTAACAAGTGGCAAAAGCTTGTGATAAAGAGGAAGTTGACAGTGACCCTTGGAAAACAAAGATGGCATAGACCTGCTGTTCTGCTTTTCAGTACTTCGCTGCTGATATAAACCTGGCTTTTTGAACTTTGCAGCACTAAGTTCCACGATATATGACTACAAAAAGACTGGATATGGGTTTTCTGGCTGCTGTGCCAACCTACGTACACTATGCACTGTATACAGGAAGGTTTATCTGAAAAAGTAAGTGGATGTTGTCGACGGATCAGCCAACCCAGATGCGACGCCTTTCAACATTTGGCAGCCTGCCTAAAGCATAAAGAATACAAAAATAGAAACATGTATAAATAATTCAACGTCTCTTCTCTTCTCGGAGTCAGAACCTGGCCTGTCACTACCATGATCAGTCTAGTGCAACAGTAAGGGTGGGGCAATTAGAGCGCAGTTTTCACGTAGCCAACTGTCTGATGAGGTAACACCGAGTTGTTGCACAACATGTTTCTGTCTCCCTTGAAGAACATCTTAGAAAATTTCAAAAACAACAACAACAACAAAACATATAAGTTGATAAGAAAAAAGCTTGGCAGCAGTTGGTTTGCGACATCCTTAATGGTTTCCAAATAATTGCGAGTTTACTTCTTTTACACCCTCTTAGATTTTTACTTTACCAGCATCATGAGGAAATAAAGAGTTGAATCTTGAGCAGGATTGGGTGATTAGAAATATGGGTCCTACCGTTTTAAGTACAAAAACTATTACTTCTAATCTAATCTAATGCTAAGCACTTCAGGACAGTGGATGCTGCGCTATAAAAATAACGGTAAAGTCCAACTATTCGGGAATCTAACCTCTGATTTTAGCATTGTAAACCAGTAGACTTATCGCTGACCCGCCGGGGAGCATTTTATGAAGTTCGTGAAAACATTTTATTTATCACAGTTTTGTATGACACAATTTAGAAGTGATTAAAAAAGCTTGCTCTAGATTTTCACAGACTTTATACATTTATTTGAAACAACAGCTGTATTAGCCAGTTTTTATACCTTTCTTATATTTAAGTACAAATAAAATACTTAGATATTCATTTGTTTTTCTATCGGGCTATCCATGTTTATCAAATAGTACAGTTTGATATGTGTTTTATTAGTGAAATACATATCTTTGTTCTTGCAATCGTTTTGAAGCTATCGTATGGCTACCTACTTGATAATCGCGTGATAACAAACAATATCGAAACGCTTGTACATCCTAGCATATCGTATATTCTCACTTATGGGCATTACTAGTTACCGTCTAATACGAAAGGGATGGTCAGTTAACAGAGAAAAATAATTCAAACAAAGTCAGTCTAAAACGACATTTTTTTCCACGCAGTGGAGCGAAAGATAAGATTTATTTATTTTTACTTTATATTTACTGGACTTAATCCTGAGTTTCTAAGACCTGTAAAATAGGACAACAAATAATTACAACTGATCTCCAAAATCAAAACCTGGCTTAATTAATTAAGGCTTAATTAAATCAAAGGAGAAAAATATGTTTAAGTTATTTCTTTTTTAAAGAATTATTTACAAAACTAGTGACCTCTTCCAGCAAACTACTTTTGACGTTCACAGTAAAAATATCTTTAAATTATGTTTAAGAGGAAAAACACCTAAGCTCATCTTTATTTCTTAGAGTAATAATTGGTTTGTTTCTACTTCTGAAACGCTGAGAAAATCCTGTGTTGAAATATTTTAATGCTGATATTATTAGCCTAGAATTCTTTGAAGGGAAAATAAAATAAAGCAGCCTGTTCCAGGAAATCCTTCTTGTGAAGCTGAGATACAAATGAACCTCGTATATACAGAGCTTCTATAGTACGCAAGAACATTCTAATCAGATAAATGTATTTCCTTTAGATTAATTGTGAAACTACTCTGCATTACGCACAAGCTCTGAACAAAAGAAGCCATACTGAGCTGAAATAACCGCACCACGTGTGGATGTGATTTCTAAATTAAACACTTTTCGGAAAAGCAATGTTTTTTGTTTGTTTTTTCTGAAAAAAGTCAATTTCGCATATTAGCATAGCAGAAGGAAAATTTGAATTTTCCGACTGAACTTATAGTTGGAAATCAATATAGAGGGCGGAACAAAATAAGCTTGTGTACAAATGTATAAGTGGTAGAAAACCCACAAAACCTACAGCTTTGTATAACTTAAACATATGAAGAACATATTTATAAAAAAACGACTATAGGTGGCGCTGTAAGGTGTCATTGGAACCGTTAGAAACTACAATTAAAAGTGCGAGTTTGATATCAGGGATCATTAATTTATTCAACGATTAGTATGACTGTTAAGACTACCCACTGTTAATATTAACACTCTAGAATATAATAATATCCAGCATTATGTTATGAACTCCACTGGAAATATGTTTCAGCCTATTGCGTTTTACGTTTGTTTGTTGTTAAAATGGACAGAGGGCATATTGAACGTTTAATATGACTTGCGCTAATGCTAGTGTATTGTTAGGATGAAATAAAATTTACTGTGTTTCGTCCTCAACTTCAGTATGTCTGCGGACTTACAACGCTAGAAACCGGGTTTCGATACCCGTGGTGGGCAGCGCACAGATAGCCCTTTGTGTCGCTTTGTGCTTAATTACAAACAAACAAACTTCCTTTACTGATCGTTTTTAGCTTTTCTTTGATTGCCTGTAATTTCAAAACATAATAAAACCCATTTAAAACTTTTCAAATAGTTTAACTGGTCAGTGGTATATAAAGAGATTTGGCTTCTAAAAAGTAATACTGACGTTAAATATCTTATGCAAAGTTATAAAACAATATTGATAGTAGTGACAGCTCTGAACAGTCCAAAATATGTTTACTTTAAAATATTTGAGTGGCATATTTTCACTTTTGAAATGGAATTTTATTTGTTTATGCAAATTTATCAGACTAGGAATACTATTTTTAAGAATGTTTTATAACTTGAATCGTCTGATGCATTGGAAGGTGCAATTTGAAGCGATTTTTAAAGTAATCCAGGAATGTTAATGAACTTAGAAAACAAAACGAGTGTTTACATAAAAATTCTTAAGAACTGTTCGTTAACATTAATTTACTTTCTTTGGTTAGTCATCTAACTGGAATCACGTTTAACCCGATATTAAATGTTGTTCTTTTAAGACTTCATGTGTGTTTTAAACCTTTTTTTATATCTTTTTTTTTGTGTGAAAACAAGTACTCTACGTATAAGATATATAAAGATTATAAGTTACCCAGAAGTAACACATATATATATAAGAAACCCAGCACTGAAAAAAAAAGAAAAAAATTCGATTCGGAAATGCGTCAGTTCGGAGGCGGATGTTTACACCACAACACGTGCCCTTCACAGCGGGCACGCGACGGGAACGTGCATCTTTTATGTCATCGGGTTTGGGAAAACGTCGATGCTAGCATATCGTAAGAGTCTGGTTCCGCTGGTGTTGGTAGAAGTATAGGATATGAAGAAAGAATCAGAGGTGTTTGGCTTACAGAGTCTGTTGATAAACAACTTTGTATCTTCATAAAATTAATTATACAATTTATCAGACTAGGTTACTTCTCTTTTCTAATGTACATGTAATTCCATGATGAGGGTTTTAACATGAAGGAAGTTTAAGACGGTGTTAAGTTGATACATTGGTAATAGTAAAGGGAGCTATAAACTCTAGGTTCTATCTTGGTTAGCTAGGATCCTTACTTGAATCCAAATGAACAACTTTGGGACTTACGGAACTTCGTAAGACGGACAGAAAGGACAGATTGCGAAATCTAATCATCGTTATAAATTTGCGTTGCAAGAGAGTTTATTCTACCAATAGCATAACAATGGCTAGTGGCAAGATTAACAACAAAAATATCCTTTTAAAGGTGGGCTAGAGTACCACTTACGTCAAATCGGCATAGTTGTTATATAATGTTCAAACGTAACGAAAACGTTTGTGCTAAGAAGGCAAGAAAGGGGTGCAGATAATCTTTCTGGAATAAGAACTGGTATTTCAACAAGGAAACTTTGTCTTCCCAAGGTTTTGCAATTACCATCCGTGACCAATAGTGCTTGTAAGAGAATCCAAGAGGAACTGAATCTGAAAGTTACAGTATGACAGAAAACAATGGTAGGGTGTGAATGTAGCACAGCATCCAAAACATACTCCTTAGCACAACATCCAAAACATACTCCTTAGCACAACATCCAAAACATACTCCTCTTATAAAATGTATTCCACAATGTTTGTTTGTTATGGATTTTGCGCAAAGCTACATGTGGGCTATCTGCGCTAGCCGTCCCTAATTTAGCAGTGCAAGACTAGAGGGAAGGCGGCTAGCCATCACCACCCACCGCCAACTCTTGGGCTACTCTTTTACCAACCAATAGTGGGATTGACAGTCACATTATAACGCCCCTAAGGCTGAAAGGGCGAGCATGTTTGGTGTGACGGGGATTCGAACCCGCGACCCTGAGATTGCAAGTCGAGCGTCCTAACCACCTGGCCATGTCGGGCCTCCTCAATGTTTCCAACTTATAGCGACTATAATGTTTATTTGGATAAATGTGTTCGAGTATACATTTCTTTGGTTTTTACACATATTTATGCTTATACTTATGCTTGTAAGTCCGCAGACATACCGCTGTGCCACTGGTGGGCTTATCCACCTGAAGAATTTACTTTGTGCACAAAAGTGCACAATGGGCTGTACTGTTCTACTGCTGGTATCGCAATCCAACTTTTAGTGTTATAAGCCCTCATGCTTACTGCTGAGTCACAAGAGGGCGAAGTGTTTAATAAAAACTAGTTATATGCTAAATATATGCATATATGTCAAAATCCATTAACCTTTTTTGACATGGGAAAACATTAGCTATGCTAAAAAATTATCTGAAGACCTTAATTCAAATCATGAACTTAAAACTTTCATGCTCGGCTGATATATTAATAAAGACTCGCCCTATTTCAAAGACAATTCAAGTTTGAAGTAAATAGATTAAATGTAAGATACATGATTCGGAAACGAGTTTTTGACAACTTCATATACATTAGAATCGATAACACAGGCCTGAGAATTTAAACTTCATAAATGTTGTTTTGGTTTAAATAATTGATTTTTCGTAATTCAGCCACGCAGATTTCGAAAGTAATATTAATTTTTTCTATCACGTAAGGATT